GGGGGGGGGGGGGTTCGGGCATAGGTAGGGCATTTGATTTTTTGAGCAAATTTTCAATCAAATGCCTCACCGTCGGGCAATAAATATTGGTCAAATACCCCACCATTTTGCAATAAATTGCAATAAATACTATATTAATAAAAGTCATTTGGTTCAAATTGCCCCACTCGGGGCCAAAATACTAATAAAAATCCCCAGGGTGGGGATGCAATTGATGATCAAATACCCCACATATGCCCAACCCAATCCCCCCCCTCTGGGGGTTAACATTGATAGGTGCATAACTTTTGGGTAAAAGCGTTTGAAGGACTGGTAGCATATATTTGACCTAATTAGATGGCCATATAATGAGGTGCCATAGTTCTTTCGATAAAAGCTTGACCCAAGTTATTGACCCGAGTCCTTAATGAGCAGTCTCATGACAGTTAATAAAAATTCTTGTTCTAAGGTAGTCTTTCGCTAAGGTCCTGGTTTGTTAATGGGCAATACAGATCCTTCTGCATACACATTTGATAATATTATGGTATCAATTCTTTGCTGATTAGGTTCTTCTCTCTCTCTCTCTACACAGGAACGTCTTTTTACACCTTCCCATATTTCATCAGTTGTGCTCTTGGCACTAAAATGTTGAATATTTCTTGGGTGTCGGTAGTCGTCTAATGTCAAATAAAGTATGGGATTCGGATTTTTATTGGTGGGTTTGCCATCTGGAAGATGGTTTGAACATATGCGTCTGTTATCAGTTGGAACAAACTCACATCTCCCTTTGGCCACAAGTGTGAAGCCGGAAGCCCACTTAGGAGGAAAGCGGTGCCATTTTAAATCTTCAATATGCTCCATAACAACTAATTAACCTTTTAGGGCATCGTTTATCATTGTCACAGGGTCCAACGCAACATCGATCAGCCCTAACCATGTTTTTTAGCAATAGAAAATTTAATAATTCATGATATTTATCATTCGCCATCTTGGGTTCAAAGTCCAACTTGCTACCCACGCAAAATGTCGGCGATAACCCGGAAATCGTTTATTCAGCTACATTTTGGTATGAGCTATAGTATTGTAGCTAGAATATTGAGCGAGAATTCGTTGCCTAAACGAGGGTGTAATAATTGCCGTCGGAATACATATTCTAGCTAGTCGGAATATATGTCTGGTTTTAGGCACGAGGTTCAACCGCTTATATTACTGAATTCGAAATTTAACGACATACACCCCCAACGCGGATGGTTTGAAAGCTTGTGAAAATGCCAATATTTTAGTTTGATTTATATTCAGTTTAGTAGAAAATTCGCCGAGAAAATGTTCGCAACAAACTGTTGTTATGCCATGGAAATTCAAAAATATCTATTACATTTTCAAAATCTCGCCTTGCTGCGCATGTAAACACACGCATTTGAAGCTTTCAAAATATATAGTTATAAAGCTTTAAAGACACAGTTGGAACAAAAGCTTATTAAAATTGAAACGGCCTAGTTTGGAACTAATGATTTTCTTGAAAATCCGCCATTGTCCATTGATTTTGCGTCCTCGCTTCACCGACATCGTATATCAAAATCGAGCTTCAAATCAACAGTAATCATGCAGTATTGATAAATAGTATTCACTATAAAAACTAACCTTCGCTGTGTTTCCTCCAGAATATTTAAAAAAATAGAATATCAGCCTTGGCAGCCTTGCACAAAATCCGATTTCTTGAGGTTGTTTATTAACAACTTAAACATTTGTAGTATCTACCTAATTTTTCTTGAAAGTAACTATTTAGAGCCTGGATGTACGTCTAGCACTTAAACATGGGTGTCTGTAAAAGCCGGAACCCCACCCGGAACACCCGGAACCCCACCCGGAACACCCGGAACCCCTCCCGGAACACCCGGAACCCTACCCGGAACACCCGGAACCCTACCCGGAACACCCGGAACCCCACCCGGAACACGCTGGAATACGAGCTATGAAGCAACGCACGTGTTTCTCTATAAATTCACGTGTTTCGCATTAAATTTGGGGTGATGGATGGTTACGATCTTTACTTTTTACTTGTATTGTTGTTTTTTTAAATAATTTTTCTCATGGGCAAGGATAAATATATTATGTCGGGCGGTATATAATATCAAATGCATGAGTTTTGCTTGTTTGTAAACGTGTAAACGAAGTTTCGCTCGAGGCGTTTGCCGCATGTATTTATTGCCGCATCTATATTCTTCGTTTTCAATATTCTGCCGTACTATGTACCTGTGACTCTATTTTAAATTTAGTTGAACAATAACCAATATTTATAACTTTGCTATCTTTTTTATTATTTGAATAATATGTTTGCATATGGTTACTTTGACTTGCAATTGTATGAAACGGCGCCATGTAGGAATTTAGAGGAATTATAAAGTTCATCCGTATTTATTACAATAATAATTCTCGTGGATTTGGGAAATTTGTCATGGATATCGATTTCTTTACTAGACTTACTCGTTTTTTTTGGAACTTTTAAAGACGTTTTAGTAATTTGGAGGCTGTTTTGTATATGACAATGCTGCAGCCTACAGTAAAAGTGCACGCGCGAGATCTCAGAATAACAGTATTATTAAGTAAGCCCCCTTGATGAGTGTGTACGCTCTTGGGGCAAACTCATTCTTCACATTCTCATCAGAAATATATTTAAATAAAGTAGCTAATATATTATATGTATTGCTAGAAATTCCCAAAACATTCATTTGTCATTGAAAACGTTAACAACCAACAAGCAGGATGATGTCATATAAATATATAGAGCACGAGGCAAAACGTCCATATTCCTTCGATCAACGGCAGTAAATAAATATTGTATTTAATATATTAAATAAGGACTGTGTTACTGTTGAAGTTATAACATGAACGTTTTGCCTAGTGGCTAGTGCTTTATATATACGACACCAGCTTGTTGATTTGGTTGTCAACGTTTTCAATGACAAATGAATGTTTTGGGAATTTCTAGCAATACATATAATTTATTAGCTACTTAATAATACTGTTATTCTGAGATCTCGCGCGTGCACTTTTACTGTTGGCTGCAGTCATTGTCATATACAAAACAGCCTCTAAATTACTAAAACGTCTTTCAAGTTCCAAAAAGCGAGTAAGTCTAGTAAAGAAATCCATGAAAAATTTCCCACAAATCCACGAGAATTCGTATTGTAATAAATACGGATGAACTTTATAATTCCTCTAAATTCTTACATGGCGCCGTTTCATACAATTGCAAGTCAAATAACCATATCACATATGCAAACATATTATTAAAATAATAAAAAAGATAGCAAAGTTAAATATTGGTTATTGTTCAACTAAATTTAGAATACAGTAGAGTCACAGGTACATAGTACGGTAGAATATTGAAAACGAAACTGAAATATAGGCAAAAGCCTCGAGCGAAACTTCGTTTGCACGTTTACAAACAAGCAATACTCATGCATTTGATATTAATATGTACCGCCCGACATAATATATTTATCCTTGCCCATGAGAAAAATTATTTAAAAAAACAACAATACAAGTAAAAAGTAAAGATCGTAACCATCTATCACCCCGAATTTAATGCAAAACACGTGAATTTATAGAGAAACACGTGCGTTGCTTCATAGCTCGTATTCCAGCGTGTTCCGGGTGGGGTTCCGGGTGTTCCGGATGGGGTTCCGGGTGTTCCGGGTAGGGTTCCGGGTGTTCCGGGAGGGGTTCCGGGTGTTCCGGGTAGGGTTCCGGGTGTTCCGGGTGGGGTTCCGGGTGTCCGGGTGGGTTCCGGGTGTTCCGGGTGGGGTTCCGGCTTTTACAGACACCCTAAATTAGAGGCACAAACGAAATTTCCGCCAGTCATATAGGATCGGATCGGACTATATAGGAAACTTGTATGGAAGTCGCCTCGGTTCCTATATCCGATTTCAAATCGACGGACCAGCGTGAATTTATGTGTGAAGGCTGAAGCGTTCCCTGCAATTCGGTTCTAATTTCTACTGGCAGTCTTGCAATTTTCAATTAGCACTTTCCCATGTGAGTGCAGTGCAACCTGTCTATTTACACGAACATATATTTTATGCTTACGCGGGAAATAGATTTATCATGCTGAAGGAAAATATGTATATATTTATTTCTGTTCGGATTTTTACGGATCGGATTGGATCAGTGTAAGCTAAGTACCCAAACGTTACTTTAATTAAGATCTACATTTTTATGTTTGATATCTAATTCTAAAAATTACACGGATTGAGTATCTAAAACACTAAATACCGAATTATTGAAACGATTGAATACCTAATCAATCTCCTTACTTCAGCTGATAACTAAATTACGATCATGGAACCGAGTTTTAACTGAAATGATTCATATAGCCTGGATGCAGTGGGAAAATTTGTTTTTAATCTTCTAAGACTGTAAGTGTAACTACTCTGAATAATTCGGGCTTATCAATTTTAAAGACGTATTGTTTCACCCAACAACACATATTTTATACTTATTGAACATAATCCATGTAAACTAAAAGTATGAAAGATAATCACATATTTCCCGTATATATTAAGCTCTTGGCTAATCCTTAAAAAACTCATTAATAATCCAGGACACAAAGAAAAATCATAAGCGTGTCGTATCTTTATATGTGATAAAAAATCATGTTAATTTACATAAACTTTAGCTTTGATTTTCTCGGTTTAGACAAAGTTTATTTTAAAAATTACTTCGCTAATGTACTCATCAGAAGATGAGTCGTTTTTTAAGCCATTTAAAGCACTTGTATAGTCGTGTTTTTCAGATATAAAACGCTCGGCTGCGCCTCGCGTTTTATATCTGATAAAACACTCCTACGCGTGCTTTAAATAGTACATAGTATATTCAAATTTGTAATCGAAAAAAGACGCCATTTGTATTATTATCTCATAACGTTTGTAGCATATATTGTTTGGGACGACCAAAACGTCCATTTTGTCTCTTTCAAACCAGCTGGATGAAATCAGGTTTTTAGATTTTGATGTCTGGTTGCAAATCCAACTAGCTATAAAATTTTAATAATTCTGTATCGATGTATCTGTAACCCAGCTATTGTGGCTATACCAAATCAAAATATAATAGGCAGAATTTCGGGTGCGAGAAGAAAGTACCAAGCAGTGAAGTATTAACGTATATGATTTCAATAACCATTATCTGCATTAACTGAATTTTCGCGACCTGTGATTACGAAAGCGAAATTTTATTCTACAGTTTATTTGAAAGTAGATTATTTGTTTTCTGGTAATATGGGCCTAGCTGTCAACAACTTATGACAGTTTGTTCGCACCTATCCAATGATTTTGTCACATTTTTGTTTCAAAACGACTGGGGGTTATTTTCGAAAGCTGGTTAGCTTAATCCTACAACTATA